GAGGCGGGGCGGAGACCCGGGGCAGCTGCTGTGCGCGCCTGGCCAGGGCCTGATCCCGGGCGCTTCCTGCCCCCACTAAGGTTGGGGGTCTAGCAGGGATTCAGACCTGGTACCAATACACCTGGCCTCAGACCCCGCCCCTGCGCCGGATTGGAGGTCAGTGCCCCGCGTGGGCTCCTGATGGCCCTGGATCATCCTTCTTGTACTCCCCCCACCCCTCCTCCCCGGGGGCGGGCTATCAGACCCTTCCTGGCTGTGCATCCTGGAGCGGCTAGGCATCCAGGTTTGGGTAATCAGTAACCCCTCCGCACACTCCTCCACACTCCCCCAGAGACCAGAGGCGGGTCTAGGCCTGACCCTGATTTACTAAGCAAACAAGGCTCCTTCCCTCTGACCCCAGAGTTCAGGTTTGTCAGTCTGCCCAGGCTATGGGACTTTGGAGGGCCTAGAAGATTCTAAAAAGAAATAGGGGCCCTTCAGGAGCTCACTTGTACCTGCCCGCCCCCTTTCAGGGCTCGTATGTCTTGGCTGACATTTGGTTGCCTGGAAACAGACCAGGTTTATCAGCCCCAGAAAAGGCCAGCTTTGGAAAGGAGACCTGGTTGTCAGGTGGGCCATGCACATCTCAGCTGCCATCCCTGTCCCTGTCTGTAGCCCATGGCAAGAGAAGGACCAAGCCTCATCAGTTCAGAGAAAGATCCCACATTTTCTGGAGGGAGAAGATCTTCTACCCGAAGTGCTAGCTCAATGCAGTGAACCCATCATGGCCTCTGGGGATTGAACCCAGGGGCTCTCAACCACTGAGCCACATCCCCAGCCCTTTTTATATTTTATCTAGAGTCAGGGTCTCGCTGACTTGCTTAGGGCCTCGGTAAGCTGAAGCTGGCTTTGAACTTGCAATCCTCCTGCCTCAGCCTCCTGAGCTTCTGGGATTATAGGCCTATGCCACTGCACCTGACCCAGGAGGTATTTTTAAAAACCCATGCATTTACTTAGTAGCCATGTGGTTTATTGAAGTGTTGCACTGGCACTTCTGGATGATTCGTGAGGTAGAGCTCTTGTCGCTTGACCCATGAATCCAAAATTCCAGGTGCCACTGGGCCACCTGTCTGGTAAATGGTGAAAACTGAGACTTAAACCAGCTGGGCCAACTCTCCCCAGGGCGTCCAGACTGTGGGCTGCTTCCTAAAACCTCAAGGAAACTCCCTTGCTTTCTCTCCCCAGACCTAATTGATTTCAGCTTGGCCCCTGTCCCTGTCTGCTCTTGGGTGGTTTTATTTTAGAAGTCTAGCTTCTGGGGTCCTTTAAGCTCGTGGGTCCCTCTAAAGAACAGAACTGACCCTGGTTTCTTCTCTGAGGTTTCACTCGTGGCCTGACCCGTGTCACTTCAGGCTTCCTCCAGTGTGCCCTACCAATAGACAGACAGGATGAGGTTTGCCAGCTGCCTCAGGGCAAGTTACTCCCCCTCTGGGACTGAGCCCTGTGGCCAGAGCTCCCCAAACTTCCAGGAGACAGAAAGCCTGAGAACCTAGGCCTGGCAGCTGGGGACCAGAGGCTAGGTGGTGGTGTGGTTAAGTGCCTTTAGGGCGCAGAGACACGGCTGTCAACTGCAGTGTGGTTAAGAATCACTGGAACCGAGTTCTACATGCTGTCGCCCAGCCCAGCCAGGGATGCAGATGCACAGACCACACTTTTGAGAACCTCCTAGTGCTGGGGCGAGAGAGGGGTGGAGAAGCCCTGTCTCCTCTCTACACCTCCGCTTTCTCTGAAAGCTCTGGAAGCTCTGGAGGGGTGGGAGTGGGGGGCTCAGAGAGGATAGAGTTGATACCAAGGGAGGCTGGAGCCTGGAGTGGCAGTGCAGGTCTAATCCCAGCCACTCGGGAGGCTGTGGTGGGAGGATCATGAGTTGAAAGCCAGCCTCAGCAACTTAGCAAGACCCTATCTCAAAATAAAAATAAAAAGGGCTGGAGACGTGGCTCACTGGTTGAGTGTCCCTGGGTTCAATCCTTGGTACCAAAAAAAAAAAAAAAGGAAGATTGATAAAGGGAGGCCTGATAGTTGGTGCCCTTTTCCTGAACCTTGTGTGAGATCTGGGCTGGATTTTGCTTTTACTCCTCATCATAGATATAATCCACACAGCTGGGGGGCTTGAGGACTTGGCGGGTTGGAGGGGGGAGTGCTGCTTCGTCCTGTGATTGGCATTACATTTCCTTTGAGCTCTCTCTCTGAGGGGAGTGTAAAACTCAACACCTGAGAGCCTATCAGTGAGTAAGCCCAGACCCCACCTCCTGGGTGAAGCACCCCTCTCAAGTCCTGCTGGTCTGTTGCCTGGAGAGCTGCTGCCCTTTGGTCATCTGTGTCCAGAGCAGCCAGCACAGGCTGGCTAAGTTCCTGTGGTCTGGGGCCCTCTCTTTTGACCTATGAAAGAAATGCCCTTGGGCCTCTCCTCTCTTCCTCTTCTAGGCTGGCAAAGCACACAGGCTAAGTGCTGAGGAGAGAGACCAGCTGCTGCCAAACCTGAGGGCTGTGGGGTGGAATGAGATGGAAGGCCGAGATGCCATCTTCAAGCAGTTCCATTTCAAAGACTTCAATAGGGTGTGTCCAGGGTGGGAGGGTTTGCCCATTCTGGGGCTGGTGGGCCCCACCTGACCCTCCTTTCAAGTCCTACAGTGCCAGACACACTAATCCAGTTTATTCAGGCACCACTGGTGGGGAAATTCATTTCCTTGAATAACTTGGAAAGTGGCGTCCTCAGGGATCACAGAGTAGGAATGTGGGTCTTGGACTCTCCCTACCTGGAACAGTCCTCAGAAAAGACAGCCCAAGTAGCAAACAGAGATACATCTGAGGATGTTTTCATAGTCAAAAGACTAAGACTTTAACCACTTGAACTTGTTAGGGATCCTAGTAAAAGACCTTCTTCCTGCTATAGAGAGACTACCTGGAAGTCAGATCTCAGAGCAGGGGCAGGTTGTCATGGGAAATGATTAGAGTTAAGGGAAGCTAGTCCCTTCTCTTAGAGCGCTAACCTGGGTTTCACTTCACTTAAATAGGCTTTTGGCTTCATGACCAGAGTGGCCCTGCAGGCAGAGAAGCTGGACCACCATCCTGAGTGGTTTAACATGTACAACAAGGTGAGCAAGGTTGTGTGCCTGTGTTGTGCTCTGTCTCCATCCACATCTGAGCACTTAAGCGCTTTCTGAAGGCTCTCCCTTGAACTGGACTCTGCCCCCCAACACAGGTTGACTGTCCATTCAATCTGTCTACCTCCTTCCTAGAATCAACAATAAGTGGTCAGTCTCACTACAAATTAAGGACATTCAAATTAAAACACTTTGAGATACTTGTGGTTAAAGTAGATATCGATAAGGCAAAACCCAAGAAAGGAAAGGCTGTGGGAATCAGGCATAATTATTAATAGCTCTACGTGGTTTTAATCTTTCTGGGGGGATAGAAGAATAAAAAAGTAATAAATTTGAACTGAGAATCCCCATGCATAACAAACAGATCTGTCTGCTTAATCAATTGGATAGTCAATAGTCATACCTAGCATGTGCCAAGAACTCTGCTGGCCTGTTTAAAAACATTAAGGATGAAAGAGGCTCTTTGTAAATGGGTAGTTTAGGAGCCAGCAGTAGTTTGGGTTCTGCATTTAGCTTTTAGGTTGCTCTTGACATCTGGATGTTAAATTTTTATTCTGTAGTTGAAGTCACCATTGTTTTTGGAAAACATTAAGGAGAGGTGCCGTACAAGATGGCTTTGCACTGCTGTCATAGACCTGTCAGAGCAGCAGGACCCAGGAAAGATGGCAGTGACCAGCTGCTGTTCTGGAGCGCTTAGTGAGGCTGAGCCCAACTTAGTGAGTCTCCTACTCTTAGGTGAAGTCAGTGGAGTTGCCCTGAACTTCTGTTTGTTTGTTTCAGGTGCACATCACCCTGAGTACCCATGAATGTGCGGGCCTTTCAGAACGGGACATAAATCTGGCCAGCTTCATCGAACAAGTAGCAGTGTCCATGACATAGACCCTGCCCTTCTTTGCATTCTTCAGGGGAAGGGCGGGTGACTGAACTGGGAATCCAGGTAGGGAGTCCTTGGTCCCTGAGACTGCTGAAATCAGCTCTCCTGTGTCCACCCTTCTTGCCTCCATGTAGGGGCGGAGTCCATGTTGTGGGAAGATGGCAGCGTCACTGTCAACACCAGGAACTGAGCCCCTTCCCCTCTGCCACTCTTCATCCTTGGGCTGTTACATTAGAGTGAGCCCTTCCTTTCCTGGCAGGTTCCCAGCAACAATAGTGATTTTCTTCCCAGGATGTGTCTTGATCCCAAATCCGTTTCCCAAGCAGTTGTGACACAGGGTGAAATAAAATCCTATCTTAGGAAACATGTGTTTTACTTCTTCTAATAAAATCTAATGCATCATGTGGTCCTACTGAGGATGGAACCAGGGCTTTGCACACACCAGGCAACTTCAGGTTCATTATCATGTAGGGGACTCAATCAGGAAGATTATGGACTAGGCAGAGGAAAACTAGGTTAAGGCTAAATGTCAGGATAAAAAATGAGCAGTGACTAATGGTGACAAGGATGATTCTGAGTCAAAGACCCAAGGAGGGTTCTTGAGAGGCAGAGA